CAGCGAACCGCGGCCAGTGGGGGCCACGATCGGCCAAACCTGCCGCGTCAGCAGGTAACTAAAGCTGTCCCGGTCCACCAGGGTGCTTACCCTGGCGAGCCGCGTGCCGAACGTTGCCGACCCCTGCTCTATGCAATTGCTTAAGAATAAAGTATCTGACTTTGCTGCACCCAACCAAAGAGAGTGAGAACTCTGTTTTTCTCCAACACTGGGATTGTTCTCAGTTCAAATACAACAACAGCTTATTTGCCCCAGTCCAGGTTGGAAGAGATTCTGGGCTTATGCAATGCCCTCCAGGCCCACCCTCTGATGAAAGTAAGAAACTGCCTAAGACTACTAGGACATATGACAGTTTGCACACATGTACTCAGCATGCCATACTCCACCTCCTGTGTATGTAGGGGTAGTTTAAAGTCTGTATCATTCATCAAGACACCTGTTGGACATGCTGATTCATGTACCAGCAAGATTTCTTTTTTCCTTGAACTAGTGGATCCAGCCAACATGTGCAGAGGAGTTGCTTGCTTGCCTCCCTGAGGTAGCAGATTGCTCTCTGGTGGTCCAAAATATTTTACTGAACAGCTGAAAACCTTCCACAGGATACATTACTTTGTGAAATGAACATGTTTCTCCATCTGGTCTTAGCAATGAGGCATCCTTTCCCTGCAGACTCAACTCCAGGACATGCTGGAATATTTGCTGTAACTGAACAAAGTCTCTCAGTTCCCTGAGGGTTCTCCTGGCTGCAGTTTCAGTTTTCCACGCTCTGATAGGGGGTAGATTGGTGTTTTCTAATCCCATGACTATTACATTTTTAAAGGGTATAGATAGACTTTATCCACCTTTCACCTCAACCAAACCTCTCTTCCTCAAGACACATAATCATGAGTCAGGGCTTCTCCTTTTACAGGGTGAAAGGAGGGTTTTCGGGGCTCCAGCATGTATGTGTGTGTGTGTGTGTGTGTGTGTGGAGGGGGGCAGCGGGCTTGCCTCCACAAAGCAGGGGTTCACCACACCGCCTATGGAAAATAGGATTACC